CACGGCTGCTCAGCTCGGGCTGACTCGAACCACTGTTGCTCAGAGCTCAAACTCTTGAGCGAGCTCTTAACCAACTGAGCCACTCAGCCGGCCCCTGACCAGGGAACTCTTGCTCCTAGCCACTACCCCATACTGCCTCAGTTTAAAATTTTGAAAATTGTAATAACTACTATGGTAATTTTTGGTATGTCTGTATGATGGAATACCGTTTTAAAAGTTTTGGGGAAAGTTTCTGCAATAGGGAGACAGCAGGGCAGCCAAGGTGTGAGGGGAGAACAGGGAAGGTTCTTGGTCATGGTTGAGCAAGTTTGGTTTCTACATGTAGTTTTTGGAAAGACCAGTCAATTCTTTGCTTAAAAATGTTCAAAGAATGTTTTTTGGCAACAATGCAAGTGAGAAAAGCTGCAATTACCAAAGTGAAGATACTGTATAATCTAGTTTTTTGAAGAAAATACGTGTGCATAGAAGGACTGAAAGCACGCTGAACTATCAACTCTAGTTGTCTGGTGGGAGGAAGGTGATTTTTATTTCTTTATCCTGTTGACAAAGCCTCCAAAATGCATTACTTTTATAATCAGGAAAAAGATATAAAAAGTCAAAGTAAAGTATTCAGAGAAGAAAGGTAAGTTTCCACGTTGGTCTTGATTCTCTGAAAGGTAACGGATGACATTCTACCTTAGAAGACAGATATAGCTCATAGCGGTGATGAGCAAATTATCTGCCATTTTAGGTGTAAGCAAAAGAATCTGTGTTTTAATGGCTTAGAAATAAGAATAGGAAAATAGCTACTTGCATATACTTTTCGATTGCTTCATTCTTGAAGTTAGATTATTAGGTTGATATGAGAAGTCCATGTGTATTTAACTTGTACCTCACTAGTTATTAGGTGTTAAATGCATGGAATTCATCTAAATTTCTGTGTCAGCATTAATTTGTCTTATTACTGTAGGTTCGCTGCTGGGAAGTTCAGGATAGTGGGCAGACTATACCAAAAGCCCAACAGATGCACACCGGGCCCGTGCTAGACGTGTGCTGGAGTGATGTAAGTTTCATTCTGTTCTTTTCTTCATGTTTTCTTCTGTGAAGGATTCAGAAGACCTGTGTCTTTCTGGTTTTATGTAATCCAAAACACATATAGCATGTATGGATACACATTGTAGGCATTCTGAGTTTTTGAGTGTAAATATAGTAATTTATTGATGTTTCTAATGTAGTCCATGTTAGTTTTAGTTAATCTCTCTGAAAGCTTTTCTTACATTAAAAATCCATTATTTGGGCCAGCCGAGTGGCACGATGGTTAAGAGCTGGCTTGGGACACCAGAGGGCTCTGGTTCGGATCCCACATATGAGGGCCAGTGAC